GGAAAAAGCCCAAGGGCACTCGAGAAACAAGCGCGGTCCACTGCAAGATTTAGCAAAGCCCGGCAAAGAAACCGGGGACTTTCTGGAATGCAGCAGGATCTAGCCCAGGTTCTGGAAAAGCCCACTGAAAGCCCTGGGGCAATCTGGACAGCAGTAGGGCTTCCTATGGGCATCAGCAAAGCTTACAATGGCCCCAGGGCACCGTCGAGAGCATCAGGGCCACACCCAGGCGTCAGCAGGGCCCGGCAAAGGCCCAGGGGATGTCTGGAGGGCAGCAGGCCCCTTGCAGGCTCCAGCAAAACCCGTGAAGGCCCCGGGGCACTCTGGAGCACAGCAAGGCCCTCTGAAGGCATTGACAAAGCCTAGCAAAAACCCAATGACTCTGTGAAAAGCAGTGTGAAAAGCAGCAGGGCTTCAACAAGACTCAGGCAAAGCCCAATCATGGTGCCAGGGTGCTCTGCAGGGCAGCAGGGCCTTGCCCAGACTCCAGCAATGCCCTGCAAAAACCCTGAGGAACTCTGGATCTAAACAGGGCCCCTTGTGATCCTCTGTAATGCCTGGTGAAGGTCCTGGGGCACTCCTGAACCATTCCTCCAGTGAAGGTCAGCAAAGGCCTCAGGGCATATCTGAGCGAATCCGTGCCCATCCCAGGTTCCAGTAAAGCCCAGAGAAGGCAGTAGAGCACTATGGAGCACAACCAGGTCCATGCTGACTACTCCTACTTCTTTTCCTGCACTTGCTTAGCGATTACTTCCAGAATGAGTTGCTCCATCATCTTTCCAGGGATGGAGGTAAGGCTGACTGGCCTGTAGTTCCCTGGGTCCTCCTTCTTGCCCTTTTTGATGACTGGAGTGACATTGGCTTTCCTCCAGTCCTCAGGCAGCTCTCCTGTCCTCCAGGACCTTTCAAAGATGATGGAGAGTGGCTCAGCAATGACATCCGCCAGCTCCCTCAGCTCTCGTGGGTGCATTCCATCAGGGCCCATGGATTTGCGGTCATTCACATTGCTTAAACGATCCCTCAAACAATCCCCCTCGACCAAGGGAAGGTCACCCTTTCTGCAGGCTTCCTCTCTTACCTCCAGGGCCTGGGATTCCTGAAGGCCGGCCTTTGCACTAAAGACTGAAGCAAAGCTGGCATTCAGTAACTCTTCCTTCTCTGCATCCTCCGTCACCAGGACACCCACCTCGTTCAGCAGCGACCCCACATTTTCCCTGGTCTTCCTTTTACTGCTGCTGTACTTGAAGGAGTTTTTCTTGTTGTCCTTGATTTCCCTTGCCAGATTCAGTTCCAGGTGGGCCTTAACCTTTCTCGTTGCTTCCCTGCATGCTCTGACAATGTTCCTGTACTCTTCCCAAGTGGCCTGTCCCTCTTTCCACATTCCATAGACCTTTCTCTTGCGTCTGAGTTCTGCTAGAAGGTCCTTGCTTATCCATGCGGGTCTCCTGCCTACTTTGCTAGATTTCTTGCTCAGGGGGATGCACTGATCCTGAGCATGGAGGAAGCGATGTTTAAACAGCGACCAGCTCTCTTGGACCCCCTGAGCTTCTAGAACCCTGACACAGAATTCCTCCAAGTCAGTCCTTGAAGAGGCCAAAGTTAGCTCTCCTGATGTCCAAGGTTTTGATCCTACTTGTTGCCCTGCTTCCTCCACGCAGGATCCTGAAGTTCACCATTTCATGGTCACTGCTGCCAAGGCTGCCCCCAACCTTCACGTCCTCAACCAGTCCCTCTTTGTTCATTAGTACAAGGTCCAGCAGAGCACCTCTCCTCGTTGGCTCCTCCACCACTTGCAGAAGAAAGTTATCATTGATGCTCTGTAGGAAGCCGCTGGACTGCATGTGCCTGGCTGTGTTGTCTTCCCAGGTGATGTCAGGGTGGTTGAAGTCCCCCACGAGAACCAGGGCCTGGGACTGCGAGGCTACTTTCAGTTGCCTGTAGAAGGCCTCATCAACTTCCTCTTTCTGGTCAGGTGGCCTGTAGTACACACCCACCGTAATGTCACCCATATGAGGCTGTCCCTTAATTCTAACCCTTAAGCTCTCAACTCGTTCTTCATCTGCCCCCAGGCAGAGCTCAGTACATTCCAGTTGCTCCCTCACATACAGAGCAACTCCACCACCTTGCCTTGTTGGCCTTTCTTTCCTAAAGAGTGTGTAGCCGTCCATGACAGCATTCCAGTCATGTGAGCTGTCCCACCATGTCTCTGTAGCTGCAATGAGATCATGGCCCTGCGACTGCACACAGATCTCTAATGCTTCCTGCTTATTGCCCATGCGGCATGCATTGGTGTACAGACATTTCAGGGAGGAACTCGAGAATGCTGGTTTCCTTGGAGGGGTGCAACAGGACCTGCCATGTCCATGCCCACCCTTAAGGTTGTTGGTCTTTTGCTTCTCAGCTTGGGACACAGCTGAGGAATATTTGTCCCTGGCTCTGATTAGCCACTCTTAATCCCCAGCCGGATGGGATGTCTTGAGCATTGTGACTTTGCACCCCATCCCCGAGGCCTTCAGTTTAAAGCCCTCTACACCAGGTTGGCTATCCTGTTGCCAAAGATCCCCTTGCCTCTTCTAGACAGGTGGGAAGTATTTTTCCCCTGTTGTTCTCTTGTTGTTTGCCTGCCATTGCTCACCTGGTGTTACGCCTGTGAACCCTGACAATCTTCTTGTGGTGGGTACTCATAGGATGTAACAACCAGTGGCACGAGGGTTGCCCATCTTTTCCCAAGTTTTGTTTTCCCTTTGTTTTGCAGATTTCAGTTAATTCCGGAGAAAACCAAATACAGGGCAGAGTGAAGTAGGCAACAGTCATTAGATATGTGATATATGCTATCCAACAATACAAGTGCCTGGGAACTGCACAGCCGATGAGTATGCGACACTTCCACCACTGGAATATTCCAACTTGCGCTAACAGCATCATAAACGGGAAAATATCTGATAGAGAGTTGGAGTGGATGAAAGTGGTGAAAGATATCTAGAGCTAGTGACGTGCAGAAAACAGACTCCACAATCTGTAAGATTGTAAAGTAGGTATGTTTATCCGGCGCCGGGTGGCACGGGGGGTAGTCCCACCAAAGTCGTGCGCGCCGGGCAGTAACTTGCCTCTTCAATTTATACGGTCAGATTTTCCAATCCACCTATACATATGCATGACCCAACTGCGCTTGCGCAGTGCCTTCTGGTGGTGGTTGTTGGGGGTCCCAAGATGAAGGCTCATCCTCTTCATCACAGTGTTCGCTGATTGACCTTTGTTTCTGGGCAAACTCAGTTCTCTTCTGGCTTCCATCCAAACTGCAAGGTCAGTCTTAGCCGTTCCTAGGCAAATCCCCAGCCTTTATCAGGAACTACTCCCTTTGTAAGGAAATGCAAGACTCTGCCTCAGTTAATTTAAGCACTATCAGTTCTCTGCACAGCAACTATCAGGCAGTGCTGCTTCTACTAAATTCCTTAACTATTAGGCAAGGCTGCTTCTACTAAAATCCCTTTAACCCCTTCCTTCATTAGGGGAAAAGCATGGTGAGAAATCAGCATAATTCTTACCATCTTAATCATCGCCACCTGCATTGGAGAGAGCCCCAAAGGATAGTTCATGTCACAACCTGCCTTTCTGCTAGATCGGATAGGAGGTTGGTATTTTTTACCATCTGCCCCCACTGAAGTCTTTGAAGGAGGACACAGGCTTACTTTCAGCAAAGTGAGGTTTTCATAAATGTGCTTGATGCTGATGCCAAAGTTGCTGTTAGAAGTCTTACTGTCAAAGAGATACCAGGATACAAAGGAGCAGGAGTGCTCAGGTACATGGGATGCGTATCTGTACCATGGATTATGCAATTACATTGGAAAAGCCTACAAAATAAACCAAAACAAGCAAGCTTATGAGAAGGGGCCAAGTCCAGGGTTTATTCTCTTGAAATTGGAAGCTATGCCAATTAGTATAAGTAGATGTTCAGGTGCTGAGGAGTGGCTGTTTGGCTGGGCCCTTAGGGTGCTGATCAATGGCACAAAGTCTAGGTGGAGGTCAGTGACAGCGGTGTAGCCCAGGGGTCAATTCTGTGTCCAGTCCTGTTCAACATCTTCATTAACGATCTCAGTGATGAGGCAGAGTGCACCCTCAGCACGTTTCCTAATAATAACAAATTGGGAGGGGTGGCTGATACACTTTGGTTGTGCATTGTCTGCTCCATGCAGAGGGACCTTGACAGGCTGGAAAAATGGGCTAACAGCAACCTCTGGAAGTTCAAAAAGAAGAATTGCTAACTTCTGCCAGTGGAGAGGAACAACACTGGCAACCAGGACGTGCTAAGGACTACCCAGTGGCAGAGCAGCTTGGCAGCAAAGAACCTAAGGGTTCTGGTGGGCTGAGAGAGAGCTGTGACTGTTCATCCTAGAGAACAGCAGGCTTGAGGGGCATCTTCTCAATGTATATCAGTTCCTGAAAGGAGGATGCAAAGAGGACAGAGCCAGGCTCTTGCCGGTGCTGCCAGTGAAGGAGGAGAGGCAATAAGCAAAACTGAAATGCAGGAAGTTCCCTCTGAGTATCAGATAACACTTTTTTACTGTGGCAGTGACGGAGCAGAGGTGCAGGTTGTCCAGTGAGGATGTGGAGTCTCTGTCGCTGGTGATACTAAAATGCCATCCGGACAGTTTAAAAAAATTCATGGCTGGCCACTATGATAGATCCGTCCTCTCTTTACTTAGTTTTGTTCAGAAAATATAAACTAGGCAGCAGCCTGACCCCTGGCTGTACATTATAGACCTTCACAGGACAAAGTGAACTATTCATCATCATCAAACACCTGCACTATTTTCAAAGGCTCAGTGTCTGGCTCTGCAGTAGCAGAGCCTGCTGAGAAGAAGGGAAGGACTTTCCCTTCCTGGCTGCTGCCATCAGCAATGGTAAAAGTGTACAGAGCTGCTTTCTTACGGACATTGTAAAACGACAGCTGCTTGGCTGAGATGTCCAGGAAGATACCAAGCTTTTGCACCTTCCCACTCACATTCAAACGGGTCCAAGGATCTGTGTGGGCCCAATACTCTCTCCCACCTGCAAACTATGCCCCAGAAGCCATTCTTAGGGGACAGCGTCAATGTCCCTTTGCGAGTCACAGATTCCTGGGCAATACCCAAGGCCCAGCTTTTTCTGTCGCTAACATCTACTTCCCAGTAGTGTTTCCCAGATGTGAATCCTTCCTTTGCCAGCACAAAAATGTGGGAATCAAATCTCTTCTCGTTGCTGGGCAAGTATCTGATGGTGCCAGTATCTTTCACACTCTTCCCGTCGTCAGAGATTTCCAATCTGGGGTGAGCTGTGTCAGCATCCAGGGTGACATCCACTGCAATGATCAAGTCACACCATAAGGAGCAGAAAACACGAGGTCTGCTTTTTTGAGGCTTTCACTGCTGTGTCCTCATCCACCTCTCATTTGTTCTTCCTCCACCTCTACACTCGGGTGCACTAGGCAGCCTCTTGCCTCTGGGGACCTCCAGATTCTCCCCTCCCATACCTCCCATCTCCCTCCTTTCCCATCCTTGGGCTGCTGACTGAGAGAGTGGCCAGCCTGCATGCATCAAACGCAAGACACTCATCCAATGTTCCTGTGACTCCAGCATTCTGCACCGAGGAGCATGGTGCTGGGCTGATTACCCTCTCCCTGAATCTTTGAATTACTGTGGGGACAGCCTGAGGGAAAGGACTAGGAGCTGACCATAGGCTCCCCTTTGGGCAACACCAGAATCACAGCTGACTATTCCAAGACTGTTGAGGCAAAATAATAATGGCCAAAGAGTTCTGTCTGACAGAACCAGAAGAGAGAGCTGATGAGATGACTGACAACGCCTGCAGGCAGCTGTCACCCAGCTGGAAGTCAATGCAGACACTCACTGGTCAGCAAGAAATGCTAAAATAGGGATGCAAGGTTTTCTGTCACTGTGCTTCAAAACTGGTGTATGGGAAGAGATCCTATTAGGAATGGTGGTGGAGCAAGTGCAAATGTTGCCCATGATGGATACAAGCACAATGTATATAGAAAAGTGGGTACATCAGCTGGAATTTGGTTTGGCTGTCATGATTAACTGCTTAGCAAAGTCTGAAGGTGATTTTCAAACTTTAGACAGTTTCTCTCAATAAATAGGAGAGCATCAGTGTAAGGTATTTCTTCCACGTGGATTAGAATGGAAGAGTGATCTTCACTGGACCAATGATAAGGAAGTGTTTCTTTCCTCAGTTTGCCCAGCTCATCAGTGCACGTGACGAACACGTGACAGGACTGTAGCAAGATGCAATGTTGCGAACTAAGACACTCTATCCAACTCAGATTTAAAGCGTATGAAGCTGCTCCTCTAGTGGAGTGAGATCAGCTGAAGACACTTTTTCTGAGGCTCGAAAGAGGGCAAATCCAGGATTGGGAGCCAGGACCTGAAGTGGCCAAAACAAGCTGGCTGTCCCCGCTCTCCACGACTGGAACAGCTCCTGTCAAGCTTATGCGGGTTCTTTGGCATCACATGACAGAGTAAACAGCTATCAAAATATCCTTCCTCTGATTGTGTTGCTCTCCAAACAGCTCTCTGAGCAGGTGGGATGTGTTTTCCAGAGCTGCACTCAGACTCTGAGTACTCATGCACATCATCTCCCTTATGCTTACCTTTGTAGCGCTGTATTTTGAAAAACTCTGTGGGAAAAGGAAAAAAGCAGGTGATAAGTGAATCTGTCAAGGCATGCTAGTCTCCAGCATGCGGAGACAGAGCCTGTGCTGCTGACCGACAGGACTATGAAGCCCTGTAGTAACATGGTTGTTCTGCAAGGTGGAAAGCACATCTAAAGGTCTCTGTGCAATCCTCCAAACAGAGCAAGGCCTAAGGCCACGGGGATGCTTGGAGTTTTAGCAGCAAACACATTAACTAGACCACATACTGGGGTCATACAAAGCCCATGCTACACACTGCCTTCAAAGACAAGGGACAGAGGAGGGATCATGACCACCTGCATTAACCACCTCAGCATGCAGGTGTCTCATTGGTGCGAGACAGAAGACGTACTGCCCACAAAAGGCCTGTCCATCTCCACTTGGAGGAGGTGTGGAGGTCTAGCTCACAGAACGGTTTTCGTGTAGACCAGCTTATGCGGCTGGAGAGAGGACGGCCTTCTTGGGAATGGCCATGCTCACCTAGTTGGTTCTCCAGGTCTACTGTGAGTTTCTGAAGGTCACGCTGTGTGGACTCTGGTACAATCTGCACATTCTCCACAGCATTCTGCAGAGTTTGAGATGACTGGGAGATGTGCTGGAGGTCCTTCTCCCGCATGGATTCCAGGGCCCTTGTGATCTTTGCCTCCACAGTCCTTCCTGTGAAGAAAGACTAGTGTCATGGGGACAGTGATGGTGTCTCCCCTGAGGTGAGGCCCTTTGCCTCTACTGGCACGTGGCCTTTCCTCTTAGAAAGAACCCAGAAGATGCTGTTGTTCTTTCAGTGGCAAGGAGGCCCAAGCCCCACAGCAGAGTGGAGTGTGAGCGATGTGGTTCCTGAGCTGTTTTGTCTAGGAAAGGGACATTGTTCACATCCAGAGGGGTCTCCGGAGCCAGTAGAAGCGGAGCAGGGCTTGCCCAAGGCCTGAGCCCCAGATGCCTCCCTTCAGCTCACCCTCAGCTGCTTCCCCATTCTCATGCTCCTTCCCTCCCTGTAGTGTTCACCTCCCATGCTCCAAGAGCACAGGAGCTCTGAGAAGTGGGAAGACCCTTTCAGCTCCTGGGAATTGGTTTGTCAGTCTTGAGTGCTGGAGGGATGGGGAAAGAGCAGAGGTCCTGTGAGCCTTCCTTAAGGCTTGGCAAAGGCCTGCTGAGCAGGGCGCATGGTAGGGATTGCTCCACTCCCCGTCTCGAGCCAGCATCTGTGTGCTGTGGGACACAAGACTCTAGGTCCTGAGGAAGGGCAGTGGGGAAAGGGAGACATTGTAGCAGGCCTTGGAGGTGGACACTTTCACCGTGTATTGGGGTCATAGAAAGGCCACGCTGCACACTGCCTTCATAGACAAGGCAGAGAATGGGGACCGTGAAGACCTGCAGTCACCACCTCAATGTGCAGGTGTCTCGGTGGTGTGGGACACAGACTTCATGTCCACAAACATTCTGTCTATCTCCATTCTCTTGGAGGAGGTTCGGAGGTCTACCTCACAGGTCGATTGGCCTGTAGACCGGCTTTAGCGTTTGGAGAGCTGAAGTCCTCCTTGGGAGTAGCCCTGCTCACCTAGTCGGTTCTCCAGGTCTGCTGTGAGTTTCTGAAGGTCACGCTGTGTGGACTCCTGCATGGTCTGGAAAGCATTCTTCAGAGTTTGAATTGGTTGGGAGATGTGCTGGAGGTCCTTCTCTCGCATGGATTCCAGGGCCCTTGTGATCTTTGCCTCCACAGTCCTTCCTGTGAAGAAAGACC